GAGAAGCCCGTCGCGCCCCAGCCCCGGCGCGTGCCCGGGCCGTGGGCGCTGCCCGTGGGGCTCGGCGCGTGGGCGCGTGTGTCCGCAAGCCCGGGTTTATCGCCCTGCCTCCTTCCCAGCGCCATAAGCCCCGGCTGTGTCCCGGTGCGTGTGTCTGTACAAAGCATGTTCACCCGCTCGCGGGCTGCTGTACATTTCGCTTGCACGCGTGTCCTTGTGGTTCTGCTCTGGTAATTGTGGAACTTGGTTTTTCTTTGTTTTTCTTTTTTTTTTCTTTTCCTATTTTTTTATATACATATATATATTTATGGGTGGACAGGTCTTTTGCCTTCGTGAGCCCTGGGTGCCCGGGCCTGCTCCCCCAGCCTGCTGGGCGGTGGCGGTGTCCGTGCCCCCCCAGACCCCATAGTGCTGACGCTGTGTTGTGACGTGGCATGGATATTCCCCACCCTGTCGCTCGATGTGCAATAGGAGCGCGGCCGCCAGCGACACGGCTGCCCCCCTGTCCGTGAATAAAGTCAACTCTTGTCTGTACCCCCTGCTCCTGGCTGAGGGGTCTCTGGGGACAGCAGTGCCCTGGCACGCTGCGTTGCGGGGAGGAAATAGGGACTGGGGGAACTGGTATTTGTGGAGATGCCACATCGTCATGGATGCTCCCAGGACGTGCGGTCCTCCAGGGCCCAGCTGCAGGTGCTCACTGAGTGCCAGGCGCAGGACGTGTCCCCATGCCACCTGTCCTGGACTGCTTCCTCCCTGCTCCATCCCCAGCACTATGGGCCGTGCTTGCAAAGGGGGTGCAGGGTCCCACTGCAAGGGCCCTGCATCCACCCTAGAGCACGACCCTTCCAGTGCCATGAGCCCAGTCTGGGTCCCTCGCCGGCTCCAGCCGCACCGCGGCCCAGGCCGGGATGAGCGGCGAGGCTGAGCCTGCCCCCACGCACGTCAGGGTAAATCCGCCGCCCACGCTGGCTCTCCAGCATCGTCGGCAAGGAGCGAGGCTGCACGGTCAGCACGGGCGCACCGCGGGCCTGCTGACACCTGCAAATCCCGGCCACGGCTCTGCCGCTGCTTGCAGCGATTCCTGCAGGGCCCTGCGTGAAACGGGGCCAAGCTGGGCTCTCCCAATAGCAGCAGGTTAGGGAGGAGCAGGGCTAGGGACAGCAAATCTGTCAAGAACCTCCTTCAAGGACATGGGCGTGAAGGACATGGGCTATAGCTGATGGCACTATGGACTCTGCCAGTCAGTGCAGGAAACCAGGCTGCCATCTCCTGACCCTGCTGCAGTGGGTTGATTTTATTCACCAGAGGAAGATCTTTATTATAATAACATCCAGCTTTAACTGGTGCAATTGTTATAGGGGATTGGCTTATCAATTAGCAACTAGCAATTAGCACGACTAAATGGAGCACACTGCTTGTCCCAATGAAACGCTACAGCATTTCTTCTCCCTGGCTACACAGGGGCCTCTCAGCCTTGCAAGGAGTTGACAAACACTAACATATTTCTTCTCCCTGAACATGCAGGAGGCCCTCAACCTTAAGGAGCCGCCTTAGGTCAGCATCCCAGGTAAGGGAAGGAAGGGACAATCGCAGTCTGGCCAGAGGAGCCGGTCGGGTGCTGTTGTCGATCCCTGCTCAACCCGTCCTTCACACCATTAGGAACAAGCTGACGTGACTGATACGGTCATCCTTTAGGGCCAGCCATCCTTCTAGTCTTCAGTTCAAGGAGAATTTCAATTCTTTAGTGAGTTCTGTAAGTGTATTAGTTCTTCAGCAAGTTTTAGCCCTGCCTCTGCAAGACTCCACCTCCCTTCCTCGGTCTTATGGGAAAGCACACACAGTTTCCACCTCATGTCCCTGCTTTGTCTCCCGCTGCATCCAGCCGTGGAGCTGGAAGGACAGCCCCTGGCAAGTGTTTTGGTGGGAGACTGGGACCTGGCAGGAGTGAGACCTTTTCAGACAGTCACAGCGCCGTGAAAAGGAGGCACCAAGGGACCTGGGCTCCCAGCTCTACCTTTTGCTACCCCTCCAGAGCGCCGTGACTTGATGTCCCACGTACTGCACCTTGCTCAGGGTCCAAGAGCTCTTTTCACTTAGCAAGCAGGCCCAGTGAGAAACATAGCCCCTTGGTGGGTACCACACAGCATCTAGGTACAACCGGAGCAACTGGCCGTCACCTCATGTGGGCACAACCAGCTCCAGAGGTACCGGCAGAGGGAAGGGCTATGCAGGTAGCTGGGCTCTTCTCACAGGAACAGCTATCTTGCAGCGCATGTCCCAAAGCATTTGGTGGCTTGCTGCAGCTCCTGAAAGCCAAGCCAGTTCTTGAGACTGCAAAAGCATCTCCCAAACCAAGCAGAATTATAAACATAAGTAGCCAAGAACTTCATCCTTCTCATCCTCTGCAACACCAGCAAAGCAGAGGGACCTCGGGAAAGGATGAGCAAAGATGAGATGATTCCTGGGACACTGTGGGCACCAGCTCTGTGTACACGTGCGGTGCAAAGCCTCCTTCCACAGTGCAGAGAGCTGTGCTGGGGAGCGAGCAGTCAGAGGAAAGTATCGCCCAGCTGCAGAGCTCAGGGAGCAGGCAGCAAGCACCCAGCGCCTGGCTTATTCCTCCCTCCAAAGAGAGGGAAATGCAGGGAATGCCACTGGCCAGGGTTTGCAATGTCTATGGTCGCTCAGAGATAGCGAGGGCAGCGGTTATCAGAGTTGAGAGCAGGAGATCCTGGAGATACAGCAGGGGGAAGCACTTCACCGCAGTTGGGAGCAGATGCGGGAAGGAAATCCGGCCTGGAGCAGAGGGCAAGGGCAGGACCAGCACCCTAGGAGCCTCCTGAGCAATCTGCATCCCACCTGCATGTGCAGTGCCAGCTGCCACGGTGCATCCCTCTGCAACCATGGAGGCTGCATTTGGACACGTGTTGTGTGTTCCCCGGGCATGGGCTGGCTGGGAAAGCTCTCCTGGGAAGCAGGGGCAGGAAGATCCCAAGGAAGCTAAAGATCCCAGACCTGCAGCCAGGCTGAACACTTACCTGCAGCACAAAGGTCTTGCCGCGGAGCCCAGGCTCAGGTGAGGGTGTCCATGCAGTGCGTGCTGGAGATGCAGTCCTCAGTGTCACCTGCTCCGTGGGAGCCGCTGATGGGCTTTCCCATTACATAGACCCTGTGGGACCAGGAAGGGAAGGGCAAAAGTTAAAGTTTCATCTGGTACAAGGTGTCTGAGCTTACCCCAGCATGGGGGTCAGCTATGGGGCACATTGCCCATTTA